GATTTTGTAACAGTCACTTCAGTGATGAAGTGTTTCAATTTCCCTTTATTTTGAACATGCAATATTATAAAGAAGGCAAATTACCACATGAATAAGGGAGCACTGGAAGTTTATAAAGTTGGTTTGAAAAAGAATTGACTATAGGAAACCTAGTTTTCAAAAGGTTATGGCCCCAAACCATTTTTTTTTCCTTTTTTAATCATGTGACAAAAGAAATGCTTAAGGCAAGATCAATTATGGGCAGCAATGAAATGACCTTCTAATGATAATTAGTCCCAAATCTTGACTGCTGCCAGTTTGAATGATCTGGTCATAAGGCACATGAGGATGTTCACTCATCTCCAAGAAGAATGAAGACCGGGCCCCGCCAGATTGGCAGTTGGGTAACAGGAGGCAGGGCAGGGAGGCCAAGGAGTCTGACCACATTCATCTCCAGTGCTTTGGAGAAAGAACTTTGTCATAAAAATTTGCCTCAAGCACAAAACTCACTGAAACAAAAAGCCTGATGATAATCTCCCTCTTAAAAATTACTACTCTCTCTTGTCAGAAGAACGACCAGAAGAAAATGCCAACCCTTGGAAAACACAAAACATCTCTGGTGGGAAATGGAGTCAGGTGGATCCCAGGAGGATATGAGAGCAGAACACAGGAATGAAGCCCAGAAGGACCACAATTAGGGCCTCTGGATGTGACCAGGAGGGTAAGGGGGACCCTCCTCCAGGTGTGGGGCTATTTGGAGGGGACAGCCATGTTGTGCAGCTTCCAGGTGCTCGGAGTCCACACAGTGAACAGCTATCCCACAAAAAAATTGTGTGGAACTGCTGGGTCAACTTCTGTTGCTTTATGGAGACAGAATCACAGCATCTCAGAGATGGAGATGATTGCTGCGTTCCGTTTACAACAGGATCAGGGAGGCAGAAGGCACCCTCCTGGAACTAACCAATAGCAGAGCCAGTTCTCCAACCTGTGTATCCTGATGCCCTTCTGGCCTCCTTGGGGTGACTGTGAGGCTCTGAAGAACAGTCACCCACAATGGCTACTGAAGAGCAATCCCAGCAGTCTGTCACCCATATGAAAGGACACGCCCCTCTCTGGCCTTGGGTGTGCTCTTCTGGTGATTCACCACCAGACAGATGCAAAAGAAAATCTGTATGCACGTTGGAGCTCTAAATCATACTTACCAAAACCTACCATGGACCAGACACCTGTGCCCACTCACCTCCTGTAATGCTCATATCCCAGGATGTGTTTATGACCCCATTTTCCTGAATGCTGAGGTTTAGAGAGGTAAAGCAACTCACTCAAGCTCACACCACTAGGTCAGTGGCAGTCCTAGCTTCAGACCGACTTTTCTAGAACTTCCTACTACACTAATAGTTCTCAAAGCTTTGCTAAAGTAAAAGCTCCTTATTCAACTATTAGAGCCATATAAGAAACTCTGCCTGATAAAAAAAATAATTGGGTGATTATATATGAAATAAACAGATTCCAAATGGTAGTTAATGATGCTTCTAAAGTCTGGGTGTAAATGTGGGGCCCTTTCAGTTTACTTAGCTAAAGAGGAAAGTTTCTTGCAAAATTCCAGTTTTCCCTTCTTAAAATCTTTGGTCCACAGATTTGGATATTCTATTTACTATTCTTCTATTGTCTTTTGATCAAACACTTAAATTCCCAAAAGCAGGAGAGAAGGACAAGGGGAAGGTTAACAGGCAGGTACAACTCTCCATGGAGATGGTCACTGAGGTGAGAGCCCGCCATCAAGCCCGTGAAGAACTTCATTATTCCAGCTCATGGCCTTCCTGTAGCTGGCCAGCATCCACCTCTGCTTTCACCTTCTGGCAACCACCTGCCACCTTTACCTTCTGGAAACACGGGCACCCAGCCAGCCTGGAGAATTCTGCTCTCTGAACTGAACTCAAATACTTCTCATCTTCCAATCTGAGCATTACAGGAGGTGAGTGGGCACAGCCCTGGAATCCAGAAGTCACTGCGGCTTCAGTGCTGCTGACATCTCTGCAGTTTGTTATCTCCTGCTCCTCAGTAAGCTGGCCTGTGTAAAGCTAGAGCATTCCAAGAGGTCTATCCTTAACCAAGGAACACCTACAAGTTCCAGCCTGCTTCCCTGAACACACAGACCAAACAGAAGTATCAGCCAGGCACACTGGGCAAAGAACAACCAACTTCATTTTCCAAGTGACATTTTAGAGTTCATTTACTATCAGTGTCAGTAAATAATCAGATACAAAGAAGGGAAAAAAAAGAAAACCCAAACAAAACGGGAAAGAAGAAAACAGGACAGGAGAACTAGAGAAGCTTCTTCAAAGAAGGGGACACATGAACTGGGCTTCTAGGATGATAGGAGTTTCCTAGGCAATGACACGGAGAAGTGACATTCCCCACAGAAGGAAGAGTCTGTCCAAGACTCAAATTTACATAGTGGCCTGCAGTCTAAGGAGAAGACAGAAGCAGTGTTTATACTCATGGGAGGTGGGGATGGATAAAGGAGGGTCTCAGACCTTTAGAAAGGTCTCTAAGGCATTGAGGAGCCAAGGGAGGAATAGGGTATTTAAAGATGGGAAGCCACCTGTTTAGCTGTATTTTTTTATTATTATGAATTCTGAAAGACATGCTAAATGTAGACAAGAGTCGACATCAGTTCTGTGCAAAAGAAATAAAATGTGAGCCATGAAGCCAAGCCACATATGTAATTTTACATTTTCTAGTGGCCACATTTAAGGTAGGAAAAACAAGTGAAATCAATTTAATAATATATTTAAGCCCCCAAATCCAAATTATTATCATTCAACATGTAATTAATACCTTTGAAGTTATGAAGTTTTTTTTTTCCCATACCAAGTTTTCTGAGTCAGGCATACTTGTAGCACATCTCCCCAAATATGGACTAGACAAAAAGTCCAAAAGTGCTCAAAAGCCAGCAATAGCCAGTGGCTACCATCCTGAACAGCACAGCTGTAGATAAGCCCAACATGAGACCCACTTAGGAATGTGCAACCAACTGTCCAAACATGAGATGATCAAGCTCTGGGCAGATCTGGCCACTGGATATGTTAAACTACCCTGAAATGCAATTTTAGAAACATGTAACTGCAAAACTTATTTTGAATCATAACAATTTATAAGGCTCAGAAATAAATACATAATACAACAAGTACAATGAACAGTGTTAGTGTTGCTCCTAGCCTGCTTCTGTCCACCACATCCCCAGCCATGCCATCCCCCTACACCTACCGGAGGTGGTCACTTTTATTGAGATCCTCTGTGTTTATTCTTCAATGTGTTTTCATGCACAAGCAGATGTAACACACTCAAATTATGTCCCCTTTCTATAAGGTGGCATATTAAAAATTTTGTTTGATACTTTGATTTTTTAATTTAATCTTGGAGATCTTTCCATGTCAGTGTATAAAGAGTTCTCTTTCAAATGCCACACAATATTCCATTGTATGGATGGATCATAGTTTATTTAACCGGTCTTCTAATGGGTACTTGAATTGTTTCCAATCTTCCCTAATCCAAACAATGGCCTAATGGAAAACCTCCTATGTACGTCACTTTATATGTATTCAGATGTATCTCAGGAAAAATTGCCAGCGCCAGATTGCTGGGTCAAAGGGTAATTGCATCTGTAATCTCAAAAGATACCGCCAAACTGGCCCTCGCCAGGGTTGTGCCGTTTTGTGCTCTCATGAGAAGTACTGCACCAATTTTCTCACACCTGCTCAACAACATGTAATTGTCACACTGTAGAATTTTTGCCAATCTGATAAAATGAAAAATGTCACTTCTGCATAGTTTCAATTTGCATTTCTCTTATTCCGTGTGAGGGAAAACATTTTCTCTTAGGTTTTGACAATGCATTTTCTTAAATATGTAAATAATCTGCTCCTGTTCTTTGCTTATTTTTCCATTGGCCTATAAAATTTTTCATTTTAATCTATATTAATCTAATATAATTTACTTAAATCTATAGGAGCTCTTCACATAAACTGATCAATCTGTCCATTCAGTTTTTTTTCCCAATCGCTATTTTTTAAAAAATCAAGTAAAAATGTTTATTTAAATTTAGCCAAGTTTCTCATTTTTTCTTTTATTATTTCTGCTCTTTGAGTCACAATTAAAAAGCCCTTCTTTAAAGTTATAAAGGATTTCACCCATATTTTATTCTAGTGCCCTTATGAATTTAAGCAGATATGAATACA